TGCTTTAGATGTGTGTCCTAGAAGTTAAATTGCTGGGTCGTGTGGTAACATGTCTATTATCTTGAGAAGAAGTAGACTTTTAAACAGCAGCCAATTACATTCTCAATCTACAAAGGGTTGTTTCACCATATCCTTACCAACACTTGTTCATGTATCTTTAGTCAGGAACATGGATGGTGCCTTGTCCATGCCTTAACCATGGATGGTGGCTTTGGTTTGCACTTTTCTGACAGCTAAGGATTTCAAGAAGTCATTTCTCATTGGGTCCTTGTCTTTTTGTTATTGCATTGTAAGAAATCTGTGTATTCTAGATACAGAGTCCTTGGTTGATGTATGATCAGCAAGCATTTCTTCTGTTTTGCTGTTGTTCCTCCTTACTTCCTGTTTTCCCCTCTTTGTTTTATTTCTTAGAGAAAAGGTCTCACTGTGTATAGCACATGCTGACCTTGAATTCATGATCCCCTGCCTTTCTTCTGAGTTCTAGGATCTAGACGTGCCCTTTCGTGTGTGTGTGTGTGTGTGTGTGTGTAAGTGTAAATGTTGTTGTCAAACCAGGGACCTTGCACGCAGTATGCAAGCACAGTGTTACTGAGCTACATGTTCAGCTCCACTTTTCACTTTTATCATGGTTTTATCACTTATATTGAAACACACACATGTAGCATCAATAATAAAAACCCAGAGACAGATATTGGGGTTCAACCTGAAGATCAGAAAAGCAAAGCAACCAACCGCTGGCTCTTACCTCTACCCCAAGACTGAAATGGCGATCCTGCCTCCATGAATCCTCAGAATGAGACTGAACTGAAAGCTGTCTCCTCCCGTCTTATATTCCTCTCTAGTTCTGGGATTAAAGGTGTGCACCACTATTGCCCAGCTTCTATGGCAAACTGTTGTGGCTACTGGGATTAAAGGTGTGTGCCACCACCGCCTGGTCTGTATGGCTGACCAGTGTGGCTGTTTTACTCTCTGATCTTCAGGCAAGCTTTATTGAAATACAAATGAAATATCAGTACCCACACATACAAAATTATTTTGTTGATATCTTGTTTTTCTTTTGTTTCTTAGTGTAAGGAAGGAATCCAGATTTATTTTTTGCCTGAGGCTGTCTAGTTGTCCTGGCATTCATTGAAAAGTGTATTCTTTTCCTGTGGAATCATGTTGTTATTTTATGGAAAGTTATTTGACTATAGATGAGTTTATTTCTCAACTCTTCACTTCTGTTCTATATAGCTATCTGGACAGATGTTCAGCTCTGTCTTGATTACTGGCCTTTGGGGTATGTTTTAAAGCTGGGAAGTATGAGTCCTCAAACTCTGCTCTGTAAGCCTCCTTTAGCAGGTCTGAGTTTCTTGAATTTCCATTTCATTTTGGGATCATCTTGTTGAATCTGTGCCAAACGGAGATTACTTTGATTCTTTAGATCAGTTTGAAGAGAACTACCCCTCCCCCCGGCACACACACCTTTAAGGTGGTGGGGAATCAAACCCACTACCTTGCTACAAGCATTCTACCGCTGAGATACATCCCGGTCTGTGAGAGTTGTAATTTTAACAATGTAAAGTTTCCTGATCCATGAACTTGACATTTTTTCCTGACTCAAACCTTAGGAGTCTAGTTCCTCTAGATATAGATGTTTATTTCAGCTGACTTTGAAACCCTTATCTAGATGACCAGGCACAGTGCAAAGTCTAACTGTTCTTCATTAAAGATGGATTGAATTGATATAAATTAGATATAATTGATATAAATTAGATTGTTGTCCCATGCCTTCTTTCATATGAACATTCATGTACATAGTGGTGTTGTCTTTTTGTTGATTCATTTGTAAATGAATGCTTATATTAAATAGTATTTGTAGAACAAATAATAAAATCTCAGAGACAGATATTGGGGTTCAACCTGAAAACCAGAAAAGCAAAGCAGCCAAGCCACTAGAGAAGTCTTAACTCTACCAAGGCTGGGCGACCACAGACTAAACAGACCGATCCTCTCTCTCCTTCCATTTTATATTCCCTCTAGTGCTGGGATTAAATGCATGACTCCCTAGTACTGGGATTAAAGGTGTGAGGCATCACCACCTGGAGTTATTCCAGTATTGTGTAGCCCAGGGTAGCCTTGAACTCACAGAGATCCATCTGCCTCTGTCTACCAAATCCTGGGATTAAAGGTGTGTATCACCACTGCCTGACCTCTAGTGGCTTAGCTTTGCCCTACTGATCTTTAGACAAGCTGTATTTATTAAAACAAATAAAATATCACTCTAAGTATTGCTTCTGGTAAACGTCCGGGTCCCTTACCTGAAGGTGGGTACGTATCAGAAGAGTAGCTGGAGTGACTGTAAGGGAGGGGCCTTCCAAACTGCAAACATTCTGACTCTCTTGGTTTCTCTTTGGTATAAATAGCCTTTTCTAGGCTTGCCAAGGGCATGTACCAATGATGTAATAATGGTGATTATATCAGAAGCAACATAGGTAGCTATTGGCATGAAAGGTAGTGGGACTTTGGGCACAGCCAGTTTGACTACTTATTTCAAGAAACCACATGGAATTCGTCATCTTTGACAGAAGACTTTAATACATTAGTGATGAAGACACTGATCACTACTGTTGTGATATTCCAAAGCGTAAGCAACTCAATAAATAGTGTTGCCTCTTGTGCAGGCCAGTGCATTTGGTTGTAAACATACGGAACATTTCTAAGGCACAGTGTTCCCTCTCTACCAGCTTCCTTGGAGCCTGAAGAAGAGGAGGGGGTGTGTAATATGTAAACACTTTCACCTTTATTTTTTATTTTTTGATTCTCAGTCATTATTTGCCTATTATAAAATGAGACTCTCTAAAATAATATTCTTGTAGTTCATTTTCATGTTAGTATTGGTCTGTAGTCATTCCTCCTTCCTTCCTGTTGCTTTATGAGTTGTCTGTGTGCAGGATCCGTGCGTGAGTCCTGGTGATCTTCTGCCTGGTTGGTGAGACTGTCAGAGTTGAGAGAAGCACCACAGACACAGTTCCAGAGCAGAGTTTTGAGAGGGCTCGAACAGATGTTTCTCAAATGTGGCCGTAGGATGCTCTGGCCCTGCTGGTTTCCTGCTCACCACCACATGCCCGCCACATGGCTTACAAGTGAAGGCCCCCAAATTAAAGACATATTCTTTTGGTTTAAGGCTCTGTCCTGCTAACATTCAAACAGCATCATGAAACATGTGAACCGTAAATATGTTCTGTAAACATGTGTAGTTTGTAGAGGGCTGTTTCTGTGGAGGCAGCAAGGAAAGCGATAGGGAGGAAAGAACACATGATTTGATTACTAGCAATGAGAGAGTATAGAAAAACAGCAAATGTACTGGTCAATAAGATAGCTTATATAGACATTGTTACTTTACAGAAAGATGGCCTTCTCAGGGTCTTAGGAATGTTTTTGAAGACCTACATCCTCCCTGAAAAACTCTTATTGAACTGTAAGTCATAGGCCAGATCTATCCTGCTGTTTTGGCAAATGCATTTCTAGTGATATATAATGCCTTAGTTTATTTTGTTTTATCATAACAAAATATACCCAAGACTGGGTATTTTATATACCTAAAAGGTTTAATTCGGTCACAGTTCTGGAGACCCATGAAGAGGACATTGGCACTGGCTTCTGGTGAGGGTCTCCTGCTGTGATGTAACAGGCTAGATGCCATCACAGGGTGGGAAAGGGAAATAGTGGGGAAGAGAAGGAAAGAAAATTGGTGGGGAGAGGAAGCAGGAGAGCCTATAAGCTTTGTAAAAATTGTTCCTGAGCTTACTTGTGAGATGAATTCACCCTTCAGCAAAAACACTTATCCGTCCTCAAGACTTACTCCATAGCTTTTCAAAGTGTTAGGAACGAACTTGTGTTACACTGGGTACCAAACTGCAGCAGGTGAACCTTTGGTGGGAAAACCATATCTGAACTATAAAATGTAACATTCCTATTTATTTACCCATTATCAATGGTTTCTTTCACACTACATAGTGGAACTAAGTAACTAGAACAGCTTTGGCCTATAATTCCTGTAATATTTATCTCACTCTTTATAGAAAACATTGGCCAACAGCTGGTTTGGAGAGTCTAGGCTTTCGGAAGGTTATGCATGAACCAGAGATATTTTGAATTTCAGCAATCTTACCATTATATGAATTTGAGGTCAGTTGGATAGACTGACAGACTATTTTCCCTCCTCCTTTCCTTCTCCCCTTATTTTTCTTGTTTAAAACTTCTTACTAGAGATTGAACCAGGGATTTATGTGTGTAGGCAAACTCTACCACAGAACTATAATCCAACTCCAAAAACAGCAATGGTGATTTTGCTTTGTGTGTATCTAATGTTTGTTTTAAATTTTGGTTTGTTTATAAAGGATCTGTGTGTGTGTGTGTGTGTGTTTTGTTTTGTTTTATTTTTGAGACAGGGTTTCTCTGTGTTGTTTTGGAGCCTGTCCCGGAACTAGCTTTTGTAGACCAGGCTGGCCTCGAACTCACAGAGATCCACCTGCCTCTGCCTCCCGAGTGCTGGGATTAAAGGTATGAGCCACCACTGCCCAACTTATAATGGATCTTACTGTGTTGCTCAAGTTAGTTTCAAACTTGCATTTCTTCTGCCAAGGGCATTAATTTTAAGAAAAAATCACTTATTATCAGGATGCATGAGACTTAGGTTTGATTCTCAGGGAAACACACATATACATAGGAATACTTGCTCATGAGCAAAAGTTTAACTTTGAAAATAATATAACGAGACATTGTTGTTTTCAAGTAGACAACAGGACTAGTCTGTGATTATTCACAGACCTTATTTCCCTCAGATACTATCATTTTATTACAAGAAACAAATGTTATGATTTTCCCCCAGTCATTTTCTATCCCTTTTGAAGACCAAGTATTTGCCAGCATAACTTACTCAAATTTAGAACAGTGCTAGTCTTACTGTTGGAAATTAGGTAATCTAACTCTGTTCTGTTTCTTTTCGTTTTTATCAGCTTGAAGTCAATGGCCCAAAATGACTCTGCTAGTGGAGATTCGCTTCCGCATCCGTAAGGAGAAAGACCAGGTCAGAGGCTGGGATGAGCATGCCACTGCACCAGATCTCTGCCATCCCTTCTCAGGACACCGCTTCCGCTAGAGGCTACAGAAGCAAGACCAAAGACAAGGAGCAGGAGCAGGTAATGGGAGAACTCCTTAAAGTGCCTTTCTGTGGGGGTTGTTTCCTGGTTGCTGTGGTCAGGTACTGACTGAGCAGCCTCCAAAGGAAGGAAGGAGGGAGGGAGGGAGGAGGGGGGAAAGACGGAGGAAGGGAGGGAGGGAGGGCGGGCAGGCTGTTCTTCTATCTCTGTTTGCGGGCAGATGTTTGGCAGTGAGGATGGCATGGTGGCAGGAGCATGAAGTGGCGGGTCACATTGGATCCAGTCAGGAAGCAGAGAGAACAGTGGTGCTTGGCTCACTTCCTTCTCTTTATAGTTAGGCTGAGTGTCCCGTGGGTTGTCAGTCTGTAAACACTTCACCAATACACTGACTCCTAGATGATTCTAGATCAGTACTAACTTCTGTTACAAATATATTATTTGAATAGTTTTCACGTATGTACCAATTTGTATGGTGGTGTGAGCATATGTAACCCACAAGAGGAGGTCGGAGTACAACTGGAGAGTTGGTGATCTTCCTCTGTGGATCCTGGGAAATGATCTCAGGTTGTCAGACTTGGTGACAATTACCTTTACCCTCTGAACCATCTCAACAGCCCCAACCATTACACTTATTTTACTAAAATTCTACGAACTGCGATCTAGAATATTAGCTGGCTGAGCTCTGAAGGACTGGTTTTTCTGCAGATGAGCACTGCTGGCTGTGTGTAGAGGGGATTGTCTTCTGCTGGTGTCTGGGTTCTGAAAGTTTCTTAGTGTAAATGACATGCTCATCTCAGTTGGCTAAGTTCCCATTATGTCTTCTACATTCCTAAGATGAAGTTTTTACATTTAGGTTGGTATAGCCAACCTGTCTCTGTTTTCACGCTGCTGGTGATCTGGCCGCGCTTAAACATCAGTTGGATCAGGTCAGTAATGGAGGAACATCAGGACTAATCTAAGCCCAAAGGGTCAGAAAGAGCTTTCTGCAGAAAACTGGGATTGTGGGGAGAGCTGTAGTTAAGGGGAAAGGAGAAGCAGAGCTACTTGGGTTGAGGACATGCGTATAGTCAGCCCCATATTGTTTGATGCAGCTTGTGATCTGCCTGTGTTGAGAAGTGAGAGAAAGAGAAGCCCAGCAGAGGTTCTGGTAGCTACACATATCAGGTCTTTATCTTAGGTAATACCCAAGGTGACTTCATGCACAGCTCTCTCTATAGCATGCACTGCATGGGCCTGATCTGCTGCTCTGTGGAGGGCTAATGATGTGTACACACTTATACTATCTGTGGATGAAGACTGACATCACTTTCGGTGGGGTGAGGACTGCTGGGAATATTTTGTAATCATAAAGGATTTTTTTCTTGCTATCACTTACTAGTGGATAATTAATCCTTTAAGAGGATTGCTGCTTTTAGGTTTGTTTTGATTTTTAAGACAGGGTCTCACCGTGTAGCTCTGGCTGCCCTGGACTCATTGTGTAGACCAAACTAGCCTTGAACTCACAGAGATTCACTTGCCTCCTGAGTGTTGGGTTTAAGGGACATGAGACACCGCAGTTCTTTTTAGGTTTTTTTAGACACTAATCCATTACTTTTCAGTGTTCAGTCTCTTTTTGGAAATCTGAGAGTTGCTTCATTTCAAAAGAAATTATTTTTTAATCCTCACTGTCTTAGAGAATAGATTTTTTTTTCATTTTAAAGTTAGTAACATCTTACTTTTAGGCCTATATTAAGCAACCTTGTGTATACTTAATTGCGTGATTATTAATGGACATGTAATTTAATAGTCTAATAGATAATTTTATGATTGGTCTCCAAGTGAGTGTTTGAAAATACACATTGTTTGACAGTCATTTTAAGTTACTTTCCATCTTAGGACAGTGTCCATTTTCCTGTCTCAGTGGGTCAGGTATCTAGAGCTTGCTATAAGTAACAGCCTCTTTTCCAAATTAAGGAGAAAATTTTAGTCCAGGAAAGTTGATATTCCTTGGATTCCCAGAAAGAGCTAATCCTCAGAACTACGAGATGATTCTACCTTGATCAGGAGTGATCAGGAGGCAGGGAATCATAAAGGTCTAGTTGCTGTTTCTAGTGGTAAACATTGCTACTTTTTTATGACTAACAAACAAACAAAACCCATCTCTACTGTTATTAGCATTGCCACTTAAAAACTGGTGACTCTGGAAGAAATACCACAAACCCTACTTTAGTGAGACAAGTTTTAATATGCGCTCTCTCTGTAGCCCAAGCTATTCCCAGAGTTAATCCTCTTTCCTTGGCTATCTGAGTGTTAGGATTCTAGGTGTGTGCCACTGCTCTGGTTTCCACTTCACCTCTGTCAAGATTGGACAAGCTGAGTGGATGTCGCATGTCCTGCCGCTCTGTCCCCATGCCTCATGTGTGACCAAAACTCTGTAAATGGATGCATTGTAGTAGAGAGCTGAATCACCTGGGACCCAGTTTGTACGATTATCTAAAAAATACACTTTCACTCTCAGCCCCAAAAGAACTAGTCCATGTTATTGTATTCCTAAAAGTTACAAAAAGCTAGTCTTCTGTCTGCTTGTATTTAGACAGCTACATAGAAAGCAAAAGATACTTTTCATATTTTTAAAGAATTTTATTTCAGTCACCATTGATTTCTTCATCTTCCTTTCTAGGTCAACAGAAGAATTTTATCATGAAACATCAAAGTGATAGTTATCTAAACAAATCATTTTGCTCTGAAAGTATGTAAATGGAGAAAATTTTAATAAAAGAAGGATGCCTTATATATACTTGTATACATAAACTATATAAATGCCTAATGCTATATTCACCTGTACCTGGTATCTGGAACAAGATAATTGTTTCAGTTGAGCAGGTGATAGTAATTCTGATGCATATCCATTGTACTTTCCCTCATAATTATTGTACTTTAGTGTATGGATAAGCCATGAGAACCTAATAGAAGAACTTGTAGAAAATCTGAGCTTTAATATTGCAGACTCTCATTTTCAGTTCAGCACCTGGACCTGCTTTGTATCTCCAGAACAGCCTGTTTTCAGGGCCTCCTAAGGTGTGCTCTGGTCCTGGTCCACTCCTGCCTTCTGTTCCTTCCCCTTCCTCTCATCCTTCTTCCCTCTTTCCTTTTTTCATTTTTTTCCTTCCTTTTCCCCCTTCTGTTTTTGCCCCCCTCCTCCTCCCATCCCTACAATTCCACTCTCCAAAGTTCAGGATGGCAGACATGCACTGGCTACCATACCTGGCCAGCCTACCAGTTTCAATCGTGTGTGTGTGTGTGTGTGTGTGTGTGTTAACTACTCAGAATATAAGGTCTCTCATCAAAGCAGTCTCTAGCTCTCTCTTATTTATAGTTCACTGTTTTATCAAAGGAACTGTAGTTTTATTTTGCAAGATAAAAGTTCCTTCTTCTAATGGTGCACAGAATCAATTGATCAGGGCTCATAGGGGCTCACAGAGACTGAACCTACAATCAGCAGCCTGTATGGGTCTGACCTCAGTCCTCTGCATGGACATGGTGTTTGTGTGGGACTCCTAGCAGTGGGAGCAGGGGTGTCTCTGGCCTATGTGCCCACTTTGGGGGACCCTTTCCTCCTGCTGCACTGCCTCTTCCTGCCTTGATGTGAGGGAGGTGCCTAGTCTTGTTGTAACTGGATGTGCTGTGTTTGGTGATACTTCTGGGTGGCCTGCTTTTCCCCCTGGGAGGAGGAGTGGATGTGGAAGAGAGAGAAGGGGTGTGTGTGGGAAGAGAGGAGGGAGGGGAAATTGCCGTCGGGATGTAGTAGTTGAGAAAACAATAATAATGAAGATACATCTCTGAAAAAATCCTTCTACATATAACAACTTGTGTGCCAGTATTTAGCCTATTCTTCTTTATAGAGGCACAGTTAAATGCGTCTTTGAAATACTTGTTACGTCACTGTCAGTTAATATGTCACTACTGCTGGCATCATTTGTATGGCTCCTTAAGTCAGTATTTACTTTTCCTGTGAGAATCTCAGAACATTAATGCTTGCTTCAGTGCAGTTTCTGTTCCTGGAACAGAATGCATGAGGCTGGGTAAGTTATAAAAGAGGCTTACAGTTCTGGAGGCTGGACAGCTTCTGGTAAGGACCTCTTCATGTCCCATGTGTGGCCGAGGGCAGGAGGATGTGAACAAAGAGAGGAAAGTACAGAGGAGGTAACTGTGTAGCAGCTACTTCCATAATAACCAAAACACTTGAGATACCATGTCATAACCATATACTTCTTAAAGGCCCACTCCCTCTCTGGACCATTACATAAGGGACCATACCTTAATACAAGGTTTAGTAGATCCAATCACGTTCACACCATAGTAGCATCCTCAAACCCGGAAGTAGGAATATATCTTCTTGTGGTATATGTGTTGTGGGGGGGTGGGGGTGGGCACCTGTGTAATTTCCTTTCAAATCTGTGTCCAAGATTGCTTATCCTGTTTGATAATCCGAACTGTTATAGTGATGCCTTTGGGGACCCCTCCTAGTATACTCAAGCATGTGCAGGAAATTGTAGCATACTTGCTGTTCGTGAACCAGAGATGATACCTTTGTTACCAAGTACCATTTTCTACCTCGCTGTTCAGAGTGTGAAAACGAGTTCTGATGGTTTCCCTGGAGATTAAGAAAGGGAAGGAAGGTGCTGTTAACCAGTCATTGAATTCAGTGTTGCTGAGTTTGAGCTGTTTTGTCTTTTTTATGCTTTTGGATCTTAAAGTACAGCTTGTTTACTTGTTTAGAGTATGTAGCTGAACCTGGGCATTGGTCCAGGGAGGAGATGTTGCTAGAGTTCACATTATCTAGATAAAACACTCAGAATATTGGGTAAGAGAAACATTTGCTGATGGTTTTCCTGGATTGCTTTCAAGTTGCATGGAGGTGATAGATAGATAGAATTCATTAGTCAGATGTCACTGATGAATATGATTTATTGTTGCTACTCTCTTGTAGCTGTTAATGTATTAGGTGTCCAGATGTCCTTTTGGTAACTGTTGAAAAATGAAAACATGCAAATTTAATT